GTTGCAAACAATTATTAGTATTATCTTAAAATCTATTTTCATACCTAATTAGAAAATTTTAAAATCCAAAAATGGTTAAAATCAAGTAGATCTATAAATATATGAAAATCTTGAAAATAAACGGCCTAGCTAATGTGTTGCAAGATACACTATTTTCGGGACTCAAATTTTTTTTTTTTTTTTTCATATGGATACATCTTGATGTCGAGATGATCGATTAGAGGGTTTTTTCAACATTAAAACAACATTTTCGATAGATTTTTGCTGTGCATATGTGATTCTACATTTTAAGGTTGCAACCTTATTAAAACTTTTCCCAAATTTAAAATATATACTCTTTTTATTCTAATAAACAATCACAAAAAAGAAAAATTTGAAAACACAACTTAAAAAGTATTGTTTTAGCCCAATTAACATTGACCGTTCATTTTGGTGAGATGTTTAGATCTAGGTCTTAGAAGGATTTTTTCATTTCCATTTTTTTTGGATGGCTTTAATATCATTAGATGAATAATGTTAAAAAAGAAAAAAATAATTTTGAGTTTATAAAGCCTAAGATCTTGAAATTCATCAAATGAATGGTCTAGATTCGTTTTTGGAAGGGACTCATTTTAACCAACTAGGAGTCAAATTGAACGTGGTTTTTTTTTTGTTTTTTTTGGGATTAATTATTGAAATGAAGAGAGTGTGTGTACAAAATTTTGAACCATACAAATACCACAAACATGATTTTGAGTGTGCATTATACTATGATACAACCGTTGCATGAAATCACTGCCCTTCATGAAAACCGATCATTTCGGTGGTTTGGATGCCATTTAGAGATGGGATTTCAATTTTCGCGTGGATAAGCATCCACGTTTTGAGGCCACAACGTGGGGATGTGTATTCTACCAAAATAGACGGAGTACATAGTTCCAAATTTCGAGGGCAATACATAAAGGAGTGTATTCCACCAAAATAATAATAAAATTATTATTGTTATTATTATTACAATAATATTGCTTATTTTTTATTCTTAATATTATCATACAATAATATTAATATTTACTATATTAATAAATGTTATATTATAATATTATTAGTTTATATTAATATCATACAATAATATTAAGAAAATCACCCTTGTCAACCTTAATCAACATTGGTGACCTTAAAGTCGGGGTCATTTAGTCGAGCTGAGTGTCAGAAAACACGAACTAGGGACGGAACCGAACCATGCGCAGGACCTAACTAGGCAAGTCCTGGCAAGGCTAAAAAAAAGGATAACAAAAAACATCCAACAAAATTTCAAAAAAATGGAACATATTTCTAAAATTTAATTAAACAAAATACATCCAAATGGAAATAAAAAAGTAGTGAAAGAATGGATTTTGAAAACTCAATTTATCCCAAGGATAGTTTAGAAATAATCTAAAACAAGATGAAAAATGTAAAAAAAAGTAAAAATATACAACAAAATAATTTTCTTATTGTTTATAATTATTTTAAAAATATTTTAAGTTTTTTTTGACAATATTAAATACTTTTATTGAATGGATAAAAATATTTTGGGTTTGGGTGGTCAAGTCGGTTGACCACAGTATCCGGCCAAAACCGGCCATGGCCAGTGAGAGTCAGGTCCGGGTTGACCCGGCCAGTTTTGCAAACAAGGGTCGAGATTGATAGATGTCGATGCTCGTGTTTCATGTGTGGCTTGCATTTAATGTCCTAATATATGATACAATTGCTTCTCTTGAAAACGATTGCCCCAGTGTTTGAAAAATCGAATTGGCTTCAGAAACTGACCAAGGGTTGGGTCTGGGTAACCGATAAATTGTTCAACTGGCCTAACCGGGTAGGTCCTGTTCCATAAAAAGTTACAAAAAAAACAAACAAATTTATGAAAAGTATAGTTAAACCATGATTAAATAAAGCTCATCCATATGAAGCTGAAAAGCAGTGAAAAAAATAGATATTAAAAAATCGATTGTACCTAGGGGTATTTTCATTTTCTTTTAAAGAGATGGAAAAATAAATCCCTGATCTTTGCCAAAACACTTTACAATTTTTGCCAAAATGATAAAAAATAAAAAAATAACATTACAAATAAATTCTTTATTTTTTAAGATTTATATATTTTTAAAATTTTTTAAAATACCAAGTTAGTCTACCAAAACCAGCCAAAACAGGATCGGCCAGTGGCCGTTCTAGTTTGACCGGCCAGTTCCAAGTTGAACAAGCCGAATTTGCGAACACCATATTGCCCAATTTGTCCCCCTACAAGGGACTCACAATCTTTGTGAAAGTCGTAACAGGTATTTTAAAACCGGAATTGGATAGTTTGATTGGACCGATCAGGTTTGGACAAGATCCACTCTTTGTGGAAATTTGTCATAAATTTTGTAATTATTTTTTAAAATAAATTACGTGGAACCGCGGGAACCGGTCAATCTGAATGGGCCGTTTTCCGATCCGACTTTCCCAGTTCTCGGACAGGACCAAAAGAATATGTACAAAATAGACCGACGTAACAAGGACGGTAAGTACCAATTTCTTATATGAATAGTCATGTTTTTGGAGGAAAAAGTGAACCTACCTAAAAAATTTAACTAAAAGACGTTGTTTTGGTGTCCAAATATCTTTAAATTGATCATCTCTATATTAAGATGCACAAATATTAAAAAAAAATGGATTTTAAGTTTTGAAAATAATGCATCTTGTAATATATTTTTGGGCCGTCAATTTTCAAGATTTTCAAGCTTTTAGAGATTTGCTCGATCTACACTATTTTTGAAGTTTAAAATTTATACTTAGATATAAAAATATATTTTAAAGTTATCACAAAGATTTCCAATAAAACCATATTAGTCGACATTATTTGAAGGTGGGCTCTACTTTGATTGTCTAGAGCCTCAGCTCTATACAAACGGCACCCTTTTTTCAAACACTGAAAAAAACAAATGGTTGAATGATTTGATATTTCAACAAAGTAAACTTTGTTCAAAGAACGTAATAATTACTAATCCATTACTTCTTTTGGAAAAATGTTGGCAATCCATTGCAATTCCCCAGCTTTGGCCCTGACCCAGGCCCAGGCCGGTCTGGCCCATTGTCAAATCGGCCCACGAAAGTCTATCTTCCACAACACACAAACACACACTATATGCTGTAAATGGAAGCCAATTGACAACTACACCATTCACTTGAATTTGAATATTACAATTGACCAGAAAGAGAATGAAACTATACTTAAATTATTACAATTGGGTAACCAGAGAATTAAATCCCATTCAAGGGGATCCTAACCAGAATTATTCCACAGGCCCCCCAAAAAGCAAAAAACAAAAAAACAAAAACTAATCAATCCCACCAAAGAATTTACACTGACTCATGAATCTAAACCGGCATGAAACTCAACACTAGTTGCAGGTAACCACACATCACCCATAATGAAGTTTGATACAGTGAAGTTCCCTGCGTCTGTAACATTCATAATGGCATGATAACCAGGCCATGAAACCCTCTTGCTTGTATCCGCACCAGGCCCACTGTTATTGAACTCCCCATAGTACAGAGTGTTTAGTGCAAAGTCCCCGGACCATGGCAACCATCCCGATGAATCGATCAGACTATCAATGAAAGACTTCATATAAACTGTTCTTGAGTATTCCTTCCATGGCCTCCCCAAATAGCTGTTGACCGAGCTCGAATTCCAAGCGAAGTCTGAGGATGCCGTTACCGAGCAATTCAGAATGGAGGTTCCGGTGTTCTGGTTTGGATCTGTTCTTCCTTGTGCAGTGAAGACATTGTTCTGAGAGGCCATGGGCATGCGGGCATAGAGATTGCAGTTTTGGAATACAACAGCTGCATTGCCAAATATGAAGTCGATCGTGCCGTATATATCACATTCTCGGTAGAATTGGCGCAGAGAATGGGTGTAAAGTGTGTCTTGGTAGCCTTCGACGCTGCAATGGTAGAAGACAGAGAGGTCGGCGCCGTTTCTGACGGCGACTGCCTGGTGCTTCTCCGGGCCAGCAGTGTTTCTGAAGGTCATGTCCATGGCCACGAAGCCTTGTCCTACAACAGCTGCGCATTGACAAGAGATAAACAGAGAAGGATGGTTAGATGGCGAAGATCTTTTGGAAGAAAGGGGAGGAAGGGGGGGAGAGGAGGGAGGTGTATTTTGTAAAAAAGAAAGACTGATTTACATAAAGACCCTCAAATATTTGGGAAAATACGCAAAAATTACAGAAGATGTTCGATCAACCCTCTTTTTCCTTTTTTCTTTCTAAAAAATTGGCCTTTTAATTTTGTTTTTAATTTTTTTAGTTTTTTTTTGTCGTTAGGACAATGCCCCAAATTTTAGGGGCGAAGTTAGAATCGTCGGACAGGCCTATGATACTGGGCGGTCGGAGTTCCCCATCCTCATACCACTCTTTTTTTCTTTTTTTTGAAAAAACTCGGCCCGAGTTCTCCATCGTGAGATGGCACTTTACTCTTAGACAAAATAATAAAGCCCGCCATTTCAATTATTGTGGCATAAAAAAATAGGTTGGCCGATGTTCTTTGTAATTTTTTCCTATTTTGCTTTTCTTAAAAATTTTTGGGTCCCTATGCAAATCACTCTAAAAAAAAAAAAAAAATTTGTCCTAATCATGAGAGAGAGAGTTCGTGTAATTTTGAAAGAAGGTAGGTGCCTTAGTACTAATAAAGGAGCTTTCATCATCTTTGAAGAAAACAGGCTCTTATGTCTAGAACAAATAAAGGAGCTTTCTTCATCTAGAGAGAGAGAAAGAGAGAGAGAGAGCTTACCAAAAGTTGCAGAATTGAAGGTTGTCGAGCCATCTACTACACTTCGGTTCCCTGTAATTATTGTCTGGTTAATTCCATCCCCCACCATCATCAAGTTCCATTTAATCTTGGGAATGGAGACGTATTCCTCATACACCCCTTTTAAAACATAGATGACAAAGTATCCATTCTTAACATCAGTCCTATTTGGAGCTGCGTTAATGGCGTCGCTAATGGTCGTGAAATTACCTGATCCATCCTGAGCAACAGTCACTGTATCATTCACTAAAACACTATCAGATTGAAGGAGCATTCTCTTACCAGCCTGAATGATTCTATGTTTCTCTTTAGAGAGCCATTGAGGAAAACCATCTCGACCGACTTTGAGCTCTGATAACAAACCTCTTTCCTTTCTTTGCTTCCTCTTTCTCTCTCTAGGCGTACTGGCATGAGTAACTAGTGCTAGAGAAACACTGTAAATCTCTGATCCGTTCGTTAATGGAGCATAGAGATCATTACTGGGGCTAGAAGCCCTCAAGCCCTCATAGCAGGTTTGCTGGTTAGTAACAATGGCACTAAGTAAGGTTTGGACATCATCAGCATGAGCGCCCGAAAGATTATCGGTCGAGTTAAGAGTGGCCATGGTGTTTAACAAGTAATCAGTGGTGAGATCAGCAAGCAATTTGCAGTCTCTAAGGGCAGCAACCTGGTTATTAGGAATCAAAAACCGGTTTTTGAGCTTTCTGTCAATCAAAGAGGAGAACCCAAATGCATTACTCAATGCTTTTTGAACTGAAAGCCGACCATAATTGTAAAGGTTGTTGGATCCATAGTTCGGCAACATGGATTTACAGAGGCGAGGATAGAGAGTAGTTTTGCAGGCAGAGTCAGGAGAGAGAGGCGATGTGGGGAGTTCTGCCATTGTTGGAGAGAGAGAGAGGAGCAGGGGAGTGAAGAAGAGAAACAAGAGGAAGGAAGCCATTTTTGGTTCAGAGAGTTTGGGCGGCAGATCTCTCTAGCAACATATATATATATATATATTTTTATTGGATTACATATGTTACTAAATTGAAGTACTATAACGTAGCCCGTAGTCACGAGCAAGTGAGCCCTTGGTTTTTAAGCAACACATAATGTACATCGCATGCGGGGCCTCACAAACCTACTGGAGACCTGGGGATGGGGAAAAGAGAGCATAGTTAATAAGTCGGGGATTTTCAATAAATCCACTAACAATCGTTTTTATTTAAAAAATTCAGATAAAAAAATCGGGTAAAAAACTATAAAAAATACTTCATGTGAAAAGATCGTGAAAATATTGGATTAGGCTCAAAAAATCGGAGTCAAAAAATCAAATATATTTAAAATATTAGAACTTTTAAAACTCTAAATATATATATCACTCAGTATAGAAAAAATTAGTAGTAGTGAAGAGTAATGCTTTCACTCTACATATATCACTCAGTAAAAAAATGACCTCCCTATAAATATAAATTTCAATATTCAATATAAATTTCAAATATTCAATGTGATATTAAGATGATTATCTATTCTATTCATCAACATAACTATTGGGTAGGTGAATTCAATTTTCATCTTTCTAGAAAGAAATTGTCTACCCCATTTTTGCTAACTATGGTTTACCCGTAACCACCCGAAAAAATACCCACCATATCCATAGCAAGAACCATGTTTTGGGACAATAGAAATAAAAATTTTATAAAACAAAAAAAAGATACTGAACTTTCCAAAAAAAAATGAGGGTATATTAAAATCAAAGTTTATTTGAAACGAAAATTGACTTTCTTCCTGAAAAAATCGTGTATTTTTACCGATATGTTGAAAAAGTCGCAGAGTAAACCGTTTTTTTTAAAAAGTCACTACTGTGAGCAAGAGAAAAGAGAGAGGGGACGGAGAGAAAAGACTTTGGGAGAGAGAGAGAGAGAGAGAGGCGGCGGTTCTCCACCTTGAGAGAGAGATTAAACTATATCAATTTGCAAGTCAACAAGAATCTCTATTATAAAAGCGCGTAGATTTCGATCAATAATTCAAAAACAAAACTACAGAAACCTGCAAGTCAACAATAATCTCTATTGCATAAAAGCCGTCAATAATTAAAAACAAATCAAGTTGAAGCAAGGGAGTGAGTGTATCATTTTTGCTCTTTTTTGTTTTTGAGTAAATTACGTAGGGCCCAAAAATAAGGGAAAGGTTTAAATGTTTCTCCTACAGCATAGAAGTTTTATCCTTTTCTATCATTCAGCCGTCCAATTTTGATCAAGAGAGCCATCTACCATTTGATCTTAGATTCAACTTTTTAAAGTATTTTATTTTTAGTTTCTTTTATACAAATTTTATGAGATTTGGTACGTGCCATCTTCTCATTGGCGCACCTATAAAAAATACTAAAAATAATTTTTTGATAAAATATAATGACCAAAATACCCTTTGAAGCTTTCAGAGGTATTTTGGTCATTTTATTTTATTGAAAATATTTTTTTTATATTTTTTGCCAGTGCGAGTTTAATAGAGGAATAGACATTCAAACTTTGGTGTCAAAATAATTTACAAAAAAACTTAAAAATAAAATAGTGTAGAGACATGACATTGTGATTGGGGCAATCTTAGCTCTCCATTCAGAATGGATGATTGGATAAAGGGGAGGATAAAACTTCTATGTTGTAAGGGAAGCATAAAAAGCTTGCCCCTAAAATAATTACTTAAAATACAAAATATTCTGATTCCAGACAGAAATTACAAAGAAGATCAGTTAAGTGTCTCTTACTTTCATTTTTCATTTTTCAAAAGTGCCCTTAGTCCGAGTATCTGATGCCTCAAAGCACATTTTGGTCTGTTCCCAACCCTACGATTATAGGAAAACCCCAATAGAGCAGTCCAAGGTCCCCATCCTCGGACCACTACTTTTCTAAAAAACTAAGAAATAAAGCATGGCATGAGTCCGAGGATAGGGACCTCAAACCACCTTGGAACTGAGTTCTGCTTAGTCCATAGAGCAGTCCAAGGTCTCCATCCTCGGACCACTGCTTTTGTCAAAAAATAAGAAAAAAAGAGTGGTTCGAGGATGTGGACCTTGGACTGCTATGGAATTGAAGCCGGCTTAGTCTAGAGGGAGATATGAGGATTCTAACCTCGAACCGCCTAGGCACAACCCTACTAACAAATAACTAAAAACTAAAATAAAATACGGTCCGACGATGGAATCTTCAAATCGAGGGGCAATTTTGAGCCAAGGGGCAATTTTGAAAAAAAACATGAGTTGACCGATCTTTGACATAAATTTTGCTCAAAATTGCCCCATTTCGTTAAGTAAAGTTTTTGGATACGTACATAAATCACTATTTTTTCTTTTTGACAAAGTTATATATGAATGGAAATTGAGACATGGTGCTATGAAAAACCAACTGTTACCGCCTCGACCGAAGCCCAATTCCTGAGTGTGTATTATTTTCTTAACGACAAATTTATATAACGTGACAACCTTGGAAATCGGTGCACTTGAAAAATTTATTGTACATGAGTATTCTAAAGTTTTAGAACTTTCTAATTGATCGTCTCAACCTCGAGGTGTATGGATCATAGTTAGCAAGTCGGGGATTATCAATAAATCGGCTTCCCATGAAATCAGAAACTAATCGTTTTTATTTTAAAAGGTCCGATAAAAAAATCAGGTAAACAATATCAAAAATATTTCATGTAAAGAGATCGCAAATATATTGGACTAGGCTAAAAAAATCGGAGTAAAAAAATCATATATATTTAAATATTTAAAATTTTAAAACTCTAAATATATATATATCACTAAGTATAGAAAAATTTCATAGTATGGAAGAGTAATGCTTTCACTCTATATATACCACTCGGTAAAAAAATGACCTCCCTATAAATATAAATTTTAAATATTTAATGTGATATTAAGATGATTATCTATTCTATTTTTATCTTTCTAGAAAGAAATTGTCCACCCCATACTTGCTAACTATGGTCTACTCATAACCATCCAAAAAAATACGCACCATATCCATGGCAGAGAACCAAGTTTCAAGAGAATAAAAATAAAACTAGAATAGAAATTTCATAAAACAAAAAAAAGATATTGAACTTTCCAAAACACAAAAATCAAAGTATATTAATAGGAAAGTTTTTTTTGAAACGATTTTTTCAAATTTTGAAAATGTCACGTTTTAAACTTCTTCTTGAAAATATCGTGTATTTCTACCAATCTATTGAAAAAGTTGCAGATTAAATTGTTTTTAAAAAAAGCACCGCTTTTTTGAAAAAGTCACGATTAAATCGGCGACTTGCTAACTATGGTATGGATATAATAATAGAAAAAAAAAAAATTCACGCCTTAAAAATAATGCATCTTGTAACAAGTTATCTAGATTATCTATTTTCAAGATATTCAAATTTTCAAAATATTTAAATTTTTAGCCAAAAACTATATTTTCCATAAAAATCTAGAGGTACGCCTTACTTAAAGGGTATAATAGCGACCTCACTTTTTTCTTAATGGAAAGCATTTATATAGGATCGAGGCTCTAAACAATCAAATTAAAATATACCTCAAAAATTTTAGTAGAAGAGCTTGTTTTGATTTTCAAATATCTTCAAATTGATCATCTCGACATCAAGATGCATGGACATGAGAAAAATAATGGATTTCAAGGTTTGGAAATAGTGCATCTTGTAATGTATTTTTGGACCATCTATTTACAAGATTTTTAAATTTTCATAGATGTGTTTGATCTACACAATTTTTAAGATTTAAATTTTATAATTAAAAAAAAATATATATTTTAAAATTATCACAAATTTTTTTAATAATGACCCCACATTTCTGAATACTATTTGAAGGTACACGTTACTTTGATTGTTTAGATCCTATACACTATACAAACACCGCACCCTTTTCTCAGTCCATTCAAATAGACGGTGGCACATTATAATAGAAAGATGGAAAGGATGGAATCTACGAGGCATATCTAACATCGGCAGACCCCTCCTCTTGACCGATTGTTTCATACGTGGCATTCATTGGACGGTTCGATTTACGTCCAAACATAATTTTGACGGCACATTGACGTGTCTTACATGATCACATTGACATTCAATGCGTTCCTTCACTACTATTCAGTCTTGACTCTTTTTGTTTTATTTTATTTTATTTATTTTTTATTTTTTTTTCAGCTATACCGTCATTATTTGGTCTTTAGGGAAGACAATGGGGCGGGAGGCCCGGCTTGGCATAACCCGTTCGGACCAACTCTAAAAAAGTAGAGCTTAAGCCACAGATCAAGGATGAGGCTAGGGCCAATGCTAACCCGTTTTTTTTTTTTTGCATTTTTTTAATTTGGTTCTAGCCCGTCCCGAACCCTAACAGGGCCAGGGCTTAGCCTATGAGGACAAAGGCCCTGGCCTTGCCAGCTGCCACCCTCAATGATAGTAGAGTCACAATCTTTGGGTGTTAAGCTAAAAAAAGAATTTCTAATGGTTGCCAGCTTCTTCTTCCTCTATCTAACCTATTTTTAATATTTAAACATGGATAATGTAGTCAAGTAGACAATATAACATGGTGTTGCCAGTTTTTTAAATAATGATTGTTTGAAGAATCATCAACCAATATATAAATTTTAGTATATCAAAAGTTATTACAATGGGTATGTAATTTGACCCAATACCAAGCCACAATACCAAGCCAATAGGGAAGGCCTGAACCCATGGTAATGCCTACAAATTGAAAATAAATTTTTAACATTGATTGGTATGTTCTAGCCAGGCTTATAATAAGGCAGGTGAAACTGGTGTTTGAGTTAGGCTAATCACTATGCCGACCAAGCTAAACCGAACAATGGTCATGGTTTTATTTCGTTTCAAGGTTTGGTTTGAAATATGAGGTATTCCTCTCCCAGACTTTGACTACTTTAGATGAGGTTTTCAAAAGGAAATTACGGATACGCCCAAATTGGA